TATACAGTCACGCATCGCTTGATGACAAGGATACATTCTGAGCAATGCATCATTAGGTGATTTCGTCGTCGTGCAAACGTCACAGAGTGTACTCACACAAACCTACCTGGTACAGCCTCCTACGCACCCAGGCTCTGTGGTACTGATCTTACAGGACCACCACAGTATATTTGGTTCCTCATTGACTGAAATGTCATGATGCAGCCGTGGCTGTATATGGATATGGGATTCCTCCAGAGAGCAGCTGGACCCGTGACAAGGTAATAAAGATAATTCAGTGAGTGTGAAATAAATGAACTTCTCAGAGGCAGTTCTCTTTCAGGGTCTGGCTCCCCCATAGATTATGTGCACGGCTTTTTCTCCTCCCTTGCTTCCCCAGGAACATCCATGGACACAGTAGGGCTCAGAAGATGTTGGTGGAGTGTGGGAGGGGACTTGAACCTCAGCCTAGGCTGATGGAGTGTGTTGCACCTCCTGGCTGGCCCAGGCCACGTCGTGTGCTGGGGACATCCAAGGTTTCCCGCAAGGCCCTTCTCTGTCCCCTCCCCCAGGACAGCAGCGGGACAGTCTGGCCTCCACTGGCTTTCCCTGGGAGGTTGTCATCCCTCCCAGTCTGAACGCAGCCTGTGTTCCTTGGATCATTGTCCGTGACCTTGACTTTCCACCCGCCCAGTTCTTTTCCATCCCAAATCTGGCTGGGTGTCCTAGGGATTGTTTTTGCAGGCTCCTAGCAGGGGGAAGTGACATCATGTGGTGTCCATGGCTGAGGGGTGGGGGCGGGGGCTCTGTGGTTGCGTGTGCTTTGAATTAAGTCTACAGTTGTGCATTCCAGTAGCCAACATCTGGCGGTGAATTCATCAGGCAGCGTATCACCCTTGATCTCAAACCCAGATGTTGTGTTAACGGCAGAAGGGAAAGAAGGAAAAACAATCTGAGCAGCCTGGGGAGAGGCCATCACTTTTGGGCGCAAAGAAGTTAGAACAAGACTCTTTATGAAGACTCTCCCTCCTGCCGCTGCCCCTGGTTCCTACTGTGAGGGGCGGGGTAGTGGAGCAGAGCAGCCCACTCCTAGGGGATGGACAGGGCTGGGCTGATTCCCCTCCCCGGGGCCAAACACCAGGCCCAGCACAGTGTAGGTGTTTGGTAAAGTGTGTCCGTGCCTGGATTTTATTTTCTTCCCAGATTCTTTGGGTCTCATTGTTTTTCCTCAGCCCTGTTCTTTTGCTGGCTGGGGACTGAGAGAGGCCCATCCCTCCCTTGGAGTGGCCTCCATTCTGGCCCAGGGTGATGCCCATTGCCGTGGGTGCAGGAGACGCGTTTCTGGAGAGCCCTCCCTGCCTCCTCCCTGTCCGCCACTGGCAGTTGGAAAACTGTGTGCTTCCGCTTTCCTGTCCATCATCTGTCTTCGTGCCCACGTTGGCAAGATCTGCTACTGAAGACCCTCCCACACCTTACTTCTTTCTTCCTTTAGGCAACAGGAGGAGCCCCATGCTTTTAGGGTTCGCGCTTGAAAGGCAGCCTAACCCTGAGCTCTGAGTTTGGCATGTAAGACAGTCCCCACTCTGGCCTGGTGCCGGGGCAGAAGGCTGAGGGTCTAAACATCTGCAGCCAGAGCTGGCTGGGGTCCACTGTGACACCACCCCAGCCTGCCCTCCTCATGGGGCCCATCCGTCCTGTTTCCCCTCAGGTCTCCTGCCTTCAGCTTGCCCGTGGGATCCTCTGGCAGTGATGAGTTCATTCGCCAAAGTTTTGCGTGTGCCCTCCCCTCTGCAGAGTGCTGAGCCCAGACAGTACCCGCTGCCCTGAGCAGGTCGGCGGTGTTGATCCTCGCATCTTCGTGGGCAGGTGTATGCCCAGCATCTCTCCTTCACGTTCGGAGGGTGTTGATGCTTTGGGGAAGGTTTCTGTAGAACTGGCCCTTCTCTGCCTCTCTTGATTCTCACTTTTCTTTCCTTCGAATTATCTCTCATTTTACAAAGTGGGGAGGAGGTTCCCCCCAGAATTCAGAGAGACCCTGAAGAATCTGAGTTCTTGTTCTGCATGGACAAGCCCCGTTGGAGAGCCTCCCGGCTCCCCACCCCCACTTCCCAGGACGCCACTGGCGGCCTCAGTACCCGTTAATGGTCTAGTCTTAACCCCACAGGTCCACCCTGGACCCTGGATTCAACCATTCTCTTCTTTTCGGACAGTTTTAAAAAGGACGTTGTATAGTCTGTAGTCCCAGAGCTAAGCAGACACGTCCAGAAGCTGCATGAGACCCAGACTCGGGGATCACACTGACCGGGACAGGCCCTGAGGAGCCAGCAGTCAGCGGGATGCAGCTCTCCAAGCCCCTCACCCCCGGGGTCGGGGAGTTGGTGCCACACCTCTCAGCAGTGCTGCTTTGGTTCTGGCGTCCTGACCCAGACCCCGTACATCGTGTGCGAGGCGCTGCACGGCACACACACCACAGCTCTCAGTCCTCACCACACCTGACAAGGGCGCAGGTACTGCGGGGGGTATCTCCGTGTCAGATGTGAGCAGCTGTGTCTCAGCGAGGTCCGGGAACTTCCCTGAGACTACGCCGGAGGGGCCTACAGCAGGATGTCGCCCCCCTGCTGCCCCTTTCAAATAAGGACTCAGGCTGCCTGGGAGCCTTAGGGGCTTTTGTAAGAGAAAAATGCATGGACCTTAACATGTGGAATGGAATGGAACCTTTTGGAATCCTGTTTGGGGGTAGTTGCTGCTGCTTTTCTGATCACCAGCGGTGTGTTTATGGAGCACCTGTTGTGCATTAAACACTGCAGAGTAGTGGACCTCTGAAAAGCAGGTCCCAAAAGCACGCAGAATTGGGCGTACTGTAGTAAAACCTGGCAGCATTGCCCCTTCTAGAACCGTTGTCTCCTTTAGATGTTCCTGGTTCGTCTCATATCGTGACTGAGGACGATACTACAGAAGAGCAGACTTACGCCAGGGTTGATCTGGCACGGTTACTGATTGGCATAAACGCTTTTTCTCTGCAGCATTGCGATCAAGTGTAGCTTAGGCAGGTAGTAAAAGGGACCAAAGTCAACCTCGCCTGGGCTGCCATCCCAAGTTTCTCAGGTGCAGCTCAGTTCCACCTGGGAAACACTTAGAGAACACTGACTGTTCTGTGGTTAAAATGTAGCCTTTGCCGTTAGAAGCTCCCAGGGCCCCAGGTGTACAGGTGTTTACACCTGTATGGTGTAATGGACAAGAGATGTGGAATGTACCAAGTGCTACAGGAGGACAGGATTTCCCAGAACAAGACGGTAAAGGGGTATTTTAGCTGGGTCTTGAAGGATGAATAGACGTTCTCCAGGCAGGGAGGGGGAGATGGCATTTGGGGCAGAAGGAACTTGCCTGTCCAGAAGCGGGGACAACCCTGGACAGGTTCAGGTTCAGGGGATTATTATGGACTGGTGGAACAGCAAGAGCAGGAGCAACTAAGGCAACTGAAATAGCCGCTGGTTGGCACCAGCTCGCAAGGAGTCTCCTGTTTCAGACGAGGGAAGTGGGTGGCCAAGGAAGATGTTTGAGCTGGACGGGATGGGCCTATAAAAAGACAACTGGTGCTGAGGATGGGAGGAGACGCTGGAAACCAAGGGCACATCCTCTGTTCTGGGGTAGCCCACCAGGTGGCATTTCCTAGATATGGCCTTGCAGGTTAGGGCCTGGCTTAGCCTGGGAAATAGGAACCTGTGGCCTCTGCCAGTCATGACTCAGCTCCAACAGAAGAAGAGACAAGAATGGGGTTTGGGCCGGGGTGGGGCGGTGGGGCTGTGGTGCGGGGCCCTGGTGCCAGGCTGGGATCTAGAGAGCATTTCTGGGGTCCAAGGGGATGGGCACCAATGGGGGATCCGTGTGCCTAGGCCCTTCTGCTCTGTGGGAGAAAACAGCCCTGTCCAGAGGTTTCTAAGATTCGAGCTGCCCACTCAGGGTGGAGGTGGGAGGCTCCTGTGAGCCTGGCACTGTTTGCTCCTTCTTTCTCTATTTTGCTCACATCCACACTAACACGACACCCAGAGCGACCCTGCACGGCTGAATTTTGGAGGGCAAAGCTTTTAAAGCCATTAAGACAGGCCGTGCCAGCAGCTGACAAGCCTGGAAATGAAAAAAGGGAGGGTTCTGCCCAAGTGACAGAGTGAACCGCTGATCTGCGCCTTGACAGGTTACAGGGCGGAGCCGAGTCCTGGCTTAATTGCTAGTAGGAGGCCCTGTGGTGCATGGCCCTTGAGAGCCTCAGGCTTCGTTGAACGTTCTGGAACCTTCTCAGCCCGACCTCTTCCCCTCTGCTTCATCTTGCATCGCCATCTGGAATCATCTTTCTTTCTGTTTGACCTCCTCCCTCAGCATCTGTCCCGCAGTTCTGCCATAGGGGCGTTTCCTCACCTGATTCCGTGAGCTTTGGGTTAAAGTGCCCTGACCTGTCCTCTGTCAGCCCCTGAGAGAATATGTATTGTTGCAAAGAATCATCCACAGGACATTTTCCAGGGAAACTGTTAGGACAGAGAGGAGGGTAGCAGGATGGACCTGTTAGATGTAAGACCCCAAACCTAAATATGATGGGGCCTCCTTAAGGCGGGTACCTACCCCTCTGCCTTCAGCCTGTAAAGCTGTTTGCCGACAGGCTATGGATGGAGGGCGGTGGCGGGCATCCGTCTGCCCGTCCTCAACTGCGTGAGTCAGGACGGCAGGCCGGTTGGTGGGCTTATCTGTTCCCCAGCCACTGGTACATACACACCGGAGAGAGTGAAAACAGCCTCAAACACGCAGGCTTGACCTCTACAGGGAGCTTTGTTCAGACGTCCACAGAGGATTCTTGGGGAAGAATCCTGGAACTGGGGGGAGTCCTGGAGCTTCACTTCCTGGTCAGCCCCTTCGGCTTGTGTGGAATCTGACGCCGTGTTGGGGGCTGGATCATCTTGCCCCTTGCCTCCTCCTCGGAGCCAGGGCGGTCTCACGGGGAGCTTGCTCATCTCTGTGTCTTTGTTTGGCAGTGATTAGGGCCAAAGCGGTGAGTGAGAAGGAGGTGGACTCTGGGAACGACATCTACGGCAACCCCATCAAGCGGATTCAGTATGAGATCAAGCAGATAAAGGTAACAGTGACCTTTCCTCCGTGGGGCAGAGCTGCAGGAGGGTCGGGAGCGAGACTGGGTCCTCCAGGGGACAGAGACCATGAGGGAGCATCCCGCTGTCTTGAGGTGCTACTGGGTCCCGGGGCGTGGTCCAACCCTCCATGGAGCAGACAGTAAGGACATCAAGCCACAAGTCGATGCAATTTTCCTTGATGCATCTGAAATGCCTGAAAAGTTGTGTGGACAGGATGTGTTCCCATCAACTAACTTAGTTCAGAAATGTGTTATCTTCCTTTCAATGGATAATAAATTGGTGGCATAGCCTCAGCGTTAAGTTACCAAGTTCACCATAGCTTCTATGGAATATTCCGTGAGCACCTGTCGGTGGCTGAGCTGTTGTGAGGTTCAAAGGCACCAAGAACTTGGTTGTTCCCTCTGGGAGCCCTAATTCCCCCAAACAGTGGTGTGGGGTTTAGTCTTGGCCGGTTAGCTTTAAATTCTACGAGGAAGAGGGACTTGGGGAAAGGAGGATGCTGTGAAGAGGCGTGGTTGGGGGCCACTTTCTGGAATAGGGGAGCGAGGAAAGAAATGGAGATGGCAGCCTGGCCGGTGCCGGAGAAGATGATTCGCCAAGTGGGAGAGGGACGGGCAGACGTCAGGGACTGCAGACCGAGGAGAGGTGGTGGGGTGTTAGTTTGTTCAGAAGGTTGTTCCTGTTCAAGGGCGTGTGGCAAGGAGCCCATGTTTGAGAGGGAGACAGAGGAAGGAAGGACACGGGGGAGGTTGGAAGGACAGGACCAGCGCTGGCAGAAAGTTGTTGACAATACTAACTTGGTCTACAAGAGAGAAGATTCTAGGCTCTGGCTGGAGGGACAGCCTTGTCACACGGTGGTAGTTGTAGCCATCTGTATTTCATTTTGTTACGAAAGAAAAAAGTAGTGGAAGATAAATGTTATCAGAAGGTCAATGAAATGCTTATTCATTGCATCTGTGTCATGTAAGGAGCTGACCCAGCCTCTCAGTGCCTAAGTCTCTGTGAAGTGGGGCAGACAATCTCTCTGTTCTCACGACCTCATTAAGGGGTCTGGAAAAGGCCGGTGTTAACACCAAGCAAGCACTTTTAGCCCTCTGGTGTAAGAAGTCACTTAACCCAGCACGTTGTCGCCATCAGCGCGACCTGTCTTGGTATGGGTGGGAGTGTAGCTTTTAGGAAGCTGGTGCATCGTGACATTGCAGATGACCCCATTCCATTTGGGTTTGTTTATTGAAATTCCAAAAAAAAAACTGCAACACCATTAACCTTGGTTTAGCCACTGCAAGAGTCCTGTGAGGCTCATGTAGGATGGCAGAGCCCGAAGGTGTCTACGTTCACACCCCCCGCTCAAGCTCCTTGTCATGTGGTCCTGGAGCATGTGTGGGCTTTCCCCTTCCCACTCTCCCCTGCCCCCAAAACTGGGCTGGAGGGCTGTTCTCAGTCTACACTCCCATCCCCACTGGGGCAGCAGGCACTCCCGGGCTGCAGCTTTCTCACTTCCTGCCAGGGCGCTGGAACAACACATCCCTTCACCTGGGCAGCAGGTGTGTTCCCGGAAGGCTGTAAGTAAATCAGAAGTTGAGAAGGCAAACCCCACTTGCCCATGGAGCTACCTCCTAATTGCAGGGGTGCCTCTGCCCTGGTCCCTGTCAAGTAGCCAATGCTTGATCAAAATTCCTGGAAATGTACAGAGGTGGTGGTCCTCCACGATGGGTCAGAATGACCTGGCGATATACAGGTCCCTCCCCAGAGATTCTGAAATGAGCTCGTTGGCAGTAGGGAGAGCAGATGTTGTCCGAGACAGTTCCCTCCAGGTGACAACGTTGTGTCCAGCCTGCTGACAGCTGCCACACTAAGCGATGAATACCTCCAGAGAAGGACTTTGCAGTAGGAATGGTCATCTTCTCATCTGTCTCATTGCTACATTTCTGTCCCCCTGTCCTGTGCTGGCAGTGCCACGGTGTAGGTTGGGCTGTCCTGGGGTGTTCTGAGTGGGAACAGAATCCGTGGCTGTGCAGCCCATCTCCACTTATGTTTCTTCATCTTTGTCTTGCCAGATGTTCAAAGGACCTGACAAAGACATCGAGTTTATCTACACGGCCCCCTCCTCGGCCGTGTGCGGGGTCTCACTGGATGTTGGAGGGAAGAAGGAGTACCTCATCGCAGGTGTGTCTTTGGGCGTGGGCGTGGAACATTCTGGGAATCTGTCCGGGTCTGTCTCCGGCTCTGGGGTGGGAGGCGGAGCAGGGCCCTGACGCCACAAGGGTGCTGCTGGGAGTCTAGGGCTTCTCTGCCTTCTCCTGGCCGAGAATTCCTAGTGAATTGTCACCTACCTGTTGGTGACACTCTTCCTGGTTAGAACAATGGAACCACTGTGACCTGATGGGAGGAAACAAAGTAAGCCAGTATTCATGGGAAATTTGAGGTCAGGTGGATACAAAGAGGTGAAAATTTTTGCCTTTTGTTCTTGAAAGGGAGGAGAGGGCAGGATGCTGGGAACGCTCAAGGCTGGGCAGGAGGCGGGAAGGAGAGTTGAAACCTTGTTGTAAATCTGTTGATATTATTATGCACGCTACTCACCCGGCTCCTTTCTTTGTTCATCATCTCTCCCTTAATTATTAAGGTAAAATATATATAACATAAAGTTTTAACCATTTTTAAGAGTACAGTTCAGTGGCATTGAGCACATTCTTATTGCACAACCATCACCACCATCCGCCTCCAGAACTCGTGCATCTTCCCAAACTGAAACTCTGTCCTCGTTAAACACTAACTCCCCATATTCCTCCCCCAACCCCTGGAAACCGCCATCCTACTTTCTGTCTCTATGGAATTGACCACTCTAGGAACCTCATCTAAGTGGAATCACACAGTATTTGTCCTTTTGTGGCTGGCTGATTTCATTTAGCATACTGTCCTCAGGGTTCATCCATGTTGTAGGAGGTGTCACAATTTCCCTTCTTTTAAAGGCTGACTAACATTGCATTGTGTGGATAGAGCACCTTTTGTTTATTGTTGCGTTGCTTTTTGAATGCTTCATTCTTAAATAAACTATTTCCCTTTACTTCTGTCTCCTCCCTCCTCTGCCTGCCAAGCTAAGCTGCACCCCAGGAGTCCAGAGCAGGGTTTCTCAACCTCAGCACTACTGACACTTGGGACCAGATCATGCTTGGTGGTGGGGGCTGTCCTCTGCATTCAGGGATATTGAACCACATCCCTGGCCTCGACCCACTAATCGCCATAACATCCTCCCCCCAGTTGTGGGGTCTCCACACATCACCACATGTCCCCTGGAGGGCAGAACTGCCCCCAGTTGAGACTCACTAGTCTCATAGAACTTGCAGCGATGATAGAAATGCTCTCATCTGTGCTGTCCAGTGTGGCAGCCGCCTGCCACATGTGGCTACCAAGCAGTCGAGATGTGGCCGGTGCAACTGAGGACGGGAGCTCTAATCAATGGATGTAAATGTAAGCAGCTACATGTGGCTGGCGGCCACGGGACTGGCCTGTGCTGTCTCGGTCAGTTAAGGAACATTACTGCCCTCTTCCTAACTTAAGAAAAAAGAAGAGATAGGAAGGACAGCTCCACTAGACTGACATTATATTTTGTTCCACAATCCAAATTTAATCATGAAAATAAATTCTGAATCCAAATCTCCATGATTTGGGGTATTTTCTTCCGTTTAGGTTATTTGTACCTTTTCTTCCCTTCCCTTGAGAATCTTCAAAATCAACACATATTTAGCGAGTGCCCGTTAGGTGCCAAGCCCTGGAGTCCTGCTCTCAAGAAGCCGCACACATTCGCACAGTGCGGTAGGGGGGCAGGAGAAGAAATTAGAGAAAATAAGATAGGTTTTGTGTTCAGGGAGAGGTGAATACTGAGTGAATGCTCAGGAGAGGTACAAAGAAGAAGAGCCCCGAGCAGGTGTGAGGGTCCAGGAGACACAGTGGCAGGAGAAGGCGCTGGCCTTGGCTGTGCATGGGAGGTCGTCACAGGGAGGGAGACGCAACGGAGTGGGTGGGTCGGAGGAGGCTCCTGTAATCTCCCGTTGGGGAATCCCTCCCTCCCTTCCTCAAGACGCTCAACCCCAGCATCTGCTTCCCTGGCTTCTGTGTTGCTACATCAGGACTTGTGTCCCTCTCCTTGGGGGTGATGGGAGATTTTTTTCTTTTATGGGCACTTCTGAACTTCCTAAATGTTTTGTTATGAACATCTATTATTTTTTAACAGTTTTATTGAGATATAATTCACGCAGCGTACAATTCACCCATTTAAAGTGTATAATTCAGTGGTTTTGGTATCTTCATAGGGATGTGCAGCCATCACCACAGCCAAAAAGAAACCCTAGACCCTTTAGCTAGCACCTTCCTGACCCCACTTCTCCCCCCACCCACAGCTCCCAGCAACCGCTGATCTACTTTCTGACTCTATAGGTTTTCCTACTCCAGACTTTGATATTAATGGAAGCATATAACATGTGGCCCTTTGTGTCTGGCCTCTTCACTCAGCATAATGTTTTTCAAGTTCATCCTGTGGTAGCACATGTCAGAACTTTGCTCTTTTTATGGCAAATGGTAATCTGTTGAATCGATAGACTACGTCTTGTGTACCCATTCATCGTGTCACGGACACTGGGGTTGTTTCTACCTTTTGCTGTTGTGAATAATGCTGCTGTGAAAGCTGTGTCTGCGTTGTTGCGTCAGCGTGTGTTTTCGTTTCTCTTGGGTAGCCACCCGGGAGTAGAATTGCCAGACATATGGTGACACTATGTTTAATCATTGGAGGAACTACCAGACTGTTTTCCAAAGCAGCCACACCATTTTACATTTGCAATATCTACCATTTTGACAATAAGGAAGATAAAATCAACTGGAGAGAGGGGTAAGGAGACAACATCCACGATGCAGAGGACTTACAGCCTGACTGCGCCATCACAGTAACACCAGAGACGGCAAAGGTGGAGGGCGCGTGGTGCATGGCCGGTGGTGCAGGCGCCGGTGAGGGGCTGGAGGCCCACTTTAGTGTGTGCATGGAAGTGTGGAAGGAAACTTGCCGGCATGTTAGCGCTGGTTATGTCTCTTTTTTCTTACTTTCCTATATTTGCTAAATTATACAAATTATGACATCTATTACTTTTATGATCAGAAAAATCTGGAGAGAAGAGAAAGGAAACAAAACCTCCCATGGTGCAGGGAACCTGTTACCCTGACAAATCGACGACTTCCAGCTTTCCAGCTTTCTGCATCCTCTTTTTATGCTGGTCCATGAGGCACCGCCCGTTAAAATGAGAGCCTTGGCAATACGCTATTTGACGTTGGTCATGAAGGAATCTTCTCGAATTCCCTGTCTACTCAGACAAGGGAAACTAAAGAAAAAAGAAACAAGTGGGACTTCATCAGATTCAAGAGCTTCTACGAGGCAAATGAAACCAGGATCAAAATGAATAGACAACACACCAGCTGGGAGAAAATATTTGCAAACCGTGTGTCCCACAAGGGGTTAATCTCTATAATATATAAAGAACTCACACATCTGAACAACCAAAAAA